ATCATCATCATCATCATCATCATCATCATCATCATCATCATCATCATCATCATCATCATCATCATCATCTTCATTTTCTTCTTCTTCTTCATCTTCTTCATCTTCTAGAACTCCCTGTGATATCATCGTCTGGCACTCCCCGATCATCCACAAATCCTATCGAATCCCAAGCCACCCTTTATGCCATTTTTCCCTCCGAGGAGCAGGTGATTCATGGCGCTCAGCGGCTCTTGGCCTCGAAGCCCTTGTGCTTTGGCGGGGAACCGGGGGATACCGGACCACGGTGGGCCCCGGAGCGGCCAGAAGTTCGAAGGATCAAAAGCGGAAAGGACATGAGCACGGAGCACGGACTCAGATGACTCGTCTGGCATAATTCTGGCAGAAGGAATTGAAGGATCTGAAGGGGGTGATGGACATTTGTTTGAGCAACATGCAGATTGCCAAATAAAAGGACGAAGGAATACTTGGCAAACGTTGGTGAACAGATACAAGAAAGTCTTTCACACAGACCTGGCCTTTTGACCTTCATGGTTTCCTTCGAACAGTTGAGCATGTGGTGTGACAGAAACCGTTGACTTGATGCAGAGCAAGGCCGGTCACCGCCAGTAGATCTACAAAGATTCTCGCCAGTATCGTAGTGCAGCATTCGCAGTCATCTTCAGCATTCAACTCAATTTTCTGTGGTACGGAGAGATCACCCTGGTACACCAGGAGATCACCCTGGTACACCAGCTTCAAGAGGAAAGAGACGAACAACCAGCACAGGATGTCGACCGCCCATCAGCTGGTCCCAGGCTTTTTCTGGAGCTGCACGCCTATGAGCTTCGCTTCGAGCGGGGCGGATCCAGTGGACAGCTGGTGGACAGGTGTGGTCGGTGCCGTCCTTGTTTGGGAGGGAACGGAGTCCGCTGGATTTCTGACATACCTTTCGTGCAATGGCGTACTATCGTGGAACATGGTGGAACAGCCCGAAATTGGAACTGCGAACATGCACGGTGTGACGAAGTGGTACGATGGTCTTGACCGACCCACGCACGCGGTTGTTAAAATCTCATCGCACATAGGTCTCACGGGCACAGTCGTGGAGTTTGGAACCATGAGTGGGAATGTTTGCAGGCTGCTTGATGAGTTGGGCTACCAGTCAGTCCGGAGCTTGGATTTAACTCTTCATTTAGACATCAAGCACACCAAACGAAGAAGGCTACCAAACGCGCAAGGCCACCAAGGCGACACAGCCAAGGCCACCAAGGCCCATGTGTTTGCCACCACCTTCTCTGTAAACTTTGCACGGCCTGATCTTGTCAGCAAGTGACCACTCGTTTGATGACTTGATCCTTAGTGTTTGTCTCTCGGCACCACATCCCAAGCTCCTGCACCTTCAGTTGATCATTTGATCATCTCAAGTGAAACATCTGCGGCCTTCGCCACGTCCGCCCGTTCGGCTCCACGTCGCCCGTCTTCGCGGCCGCTGGTCCAGGTGGAGCCACTGGAGTCTGATCTCCGCTGCGAGGAATCTGAGAGCCCGCAGGAGTGCCCAGGAGGGTGCAGAGGTCGTGGACGTCGCGATGGGGCAACTGATGGGTGTGACACGGCAGGGATGTGAAGGATGGAAGATGATGGATTTATATAGACCCCCGTATTAAATAGAAAAGTAGACCCCCACTAAAAATGTATTGTTATTGGACACCTGGGGATCACTCATTGGGTGGATGGAAGATGATGGAGCTGCACAAAAGGATGCACCTAATTGGGAACACCAGGGGTTGGAACAAGATCAAGATCATGTTTTTTGTTGTCAAACATGCCTTTCGGATGTTACGTCGATACAGGAAACACTGCTCATATGTCAGGTTAAGTGGAGTCGGTGGTTCTAGACATGGTGCAACGAATGTCATAGGCACGACTCCATGTGGATGGTATGGTGGTTTACAGTTGAGATCAGCAGTGTATTGTAGCAGAGTTTTATGCACTGCTGACCAATTCGGAACTTCTGGTCGCAAAGGAAACCCACCTATGTACGTACGCCCCCATCCAACTTAAACAAGGCTAGATGAACCAGTCTTGTGATTCTTATGATGGTGAGGTACGAGAGGAATGGATGCAAAACCCTGGAGGTACTGGATAATGATTCGAAGTACATCAGATTGTTCCCGTAGGCAACGGCGTGTTTGAGGCAGTGCTAGGACTTTAGGATCGAGCCAATGGTGTGGATGTTTTTTTTTGCCTTTCTGAAGCTGTATCCATGCGGGAAATTAAATGCCAGTAGGAGGGGTCAATACCTGGAGCCCCAACACCTGCAGCGAACGGCCTGAAGCAACGGAACGAATGACGTATCAGGTCTCTCAACCTTGCCGAGTATACAACGCCGAGATTCATCTTAAAGTTTTACATGTGTGCCTGGGTAACCAACAGGCTGATTTGGTCATGCAACTTTGTGCCCAGTTAAAATGGCCCGATCCAAATGCTCCTATTCCCCTAAGCCAAAGAGGGCATCACTTGGCATGAAGTAGCTGTGGCCTTTATTGTCCCAAGCGTCTTTGCTGTTGTTGTGGCTGTTGGTGGTGGTGCTGCTGCTCAGATCGTTCGAGGCCTGGCAATGGCACCTACCCGGGCGCCACGTGGGGCCCGGCCGCGACGATGCTGGGCCAACCCTTTGAGGTGCTCCGGAGAGCAGTGCGGTGGGGGCGGTTGGTTCGACGGATTTGGATTTGAGCCTCAAAGAACCAGTGGGACAACTGTAGACGGTTGACTAACAAAGCCACCATGAGAAACGTTTTCAATCTTTTCCAGATGTTTTCAACATCAAGAGTCTACAGTCCTGTACTTGCATTGAACGACGACGATGCCGCTTTTGGAAACGTGATCCAATTTGGGAGGGTTCTTGTTTTTTATCCCTGCCGGCTTTTCATCTCCAAAGCCACCGGGTCGCCGTTCGCCGTTCAGAAGGGTTGGCTGTTTCCTCAGACACCTCGGTGTCCAAGGTGGCTTCTCCTTGCCTTTGCGCCCAAACGTGCTGGAAGAGGCTGCTTCAAGGCGCCAAAAACACGAACTGCATCGGTCCCCAGGGGGGAGAAGGAGATCCAGAGAGAGAGAGAGAGAGAGAGAAAAAGAGAAAAAGAACAAATGAGAAAGAGCAAGATAAAGAGAAAAGGTCCAACGCCTTTCTGAAGTCATTCGCTTCTAATGTTGACATCTGAGAAAATGTCCCACCCCTCGATCCGCCTACGTATCTTTGTCAACCGTTTCTAAACTCATCTCAATGTGGGGGGAATTTATTCAGCAGTAATTGAAGAATCCGCCAAGAAGTCCTACTGACACTTCAGGATGCCGCTGCTGGAGCTTCCAGATGCGACTGAAGGAATGCCAGTTCTACAGGAGACGCGGTGAGCCGAGTGAGCCGACGCGCGCCCGTCAATGCGGAGGTTCCGATGCTTGGGACCAACAACCTGCTTCAGGACTTCAGATGTCCTCACTCCTCATCATGATGATCACCAGCATCTTGATCAATCATACGTCCTTTTCTCCACCTGTCAGATTCTAGTTGACACACGCCCCAAGTCAGACTCGCCCCTGTTCTACATGGTCAGGAGTTGCCATCCACCCGCGGCCTTAGCGCCGGCAGCATCGGTGGCAGGGGAGATGAACGGAAACTGGGTTGCTTGGAGGTGAAAGCAGGTCGCTTAGGGATCCAAACTCAACTCTCCGCCGCTGCGGGGAGGAGACACCATTTGAGTTGGGGCCTATTTATCTCGACACGGCGCCTGCAATGTCTAGACTTGGACCGTTTCTCACCTGGGTTTGGCTCTATCCATTTCTGCGGTCAGGAAGATGTCCACCGTTTCGGAGGTTTTGGTCCGTTCCAGCTCCAGCTCCAGCTCCGTTGGTAAGGAGCCCCAATCAGTGAGGTCAGCAGACGGACACGCTTCGGGACGTGCCTGACCGGCAAAATGGACCGGCAATCGTGGACAGACAGCTGTGGCCGTGTGGCTATAGAAGACATAGAAAAAGGTGTTAAATAAGATATAGAATGGTGTCCTTCAAGCACGTATCTCATGCGAAAACCATGGGCGCAACCTTTCCTAGTGAAATTGCCCTGGGCCGTTTGGGGAGTCTTCACCACTCAGGTCTTCTCTGCGGATGACCAAAAAGGTGCGTGCTCGCAGCCCACGGATCCCAGTCCGGCCGCATCACCCTGGGCTTTTGTAGCCAGTCTAGCCCTCACTGGTGACATGGCTGGTGAATTCTCCTTGAAGTGGATGATTTTCGTTTTTCTGACAGGTGAATCAGCGATTTTTCTTTCACGCACCTGCGGTCGTGCCACGGAGGGGTGTTCTTGGAGGGTCGGGGCGAAGGGCGAGACCCCAAGCTCAAGACCCTTTTTTCCACACAAGTCCCTGTAACCGTAACCCCCAACGCAGTTTCAACATCAAAGTTTATAGGTTTGAGCAGGGCCCTGCATGTGAGTCTTCTCCATTGTGGCAAGCTTTTGCATTTTGGTTTTGTGATTGTGCGATGGTTACTGTCTTTTCTTTAACATGGATGAAATAAAGGCATATCATATCAAACTGGGAGATAATGAGTTGAAGAGGCAACTTGCCACAACCGTTCAACCAAGCAAGGCAAGAAGCACAGATGAGGTGGTGAATTGCTTGATGGATGGCTTTGTGCACACAAGAGCCGTTGTCATTGTGACTTTTGTCAGTGTGAAATGACAAGAGTGGACAATGGAAGGAACATCTGGAGAACATTTGTGGAATACAGTTCTATGGAAGTCAACAGGGAAGGTGAGCTTACACTAATTCTGTTGAAACCTAACAGGTTTGGAAAGGACATCCAAAGGGTTTGGACAGGAAATCCAGAAACTTTGGGAGACTATCCCGAAAGGTTTCGAAGACGCATCCAAAGGACTTGGAACCAAAACCCTATTTTTTTGCAAAGCAAATACAAAAGGACATTGAAAACAACCACAAGAAGTTTGACATGAAGCCCAAAACGTTTGGAACGCAAGCTGCAGTGCCAAAGCTGAGAACACATTGTTTCTGTAAACATATCTATGAGATGAAGTTTTCAGATCATTTTTTTCATGTTTTCCAATTGGCTGTTGTGCGACCGTTTACGTTGTTCGCACTGGTCTCCCTGCCAAAAGCCATTCGGCTCGGGCGATGGCCGGTGGCGGGAGTTCCTACGTCGCCGCTCCCGCCGATGGGCGACGTTGAGCTGGCGACCTGGTCGGATGGTTATGAGCCACTGGCCCCTTGGTTGAAGCGGCTAGACCCAGCGAATGACTGGTCTCCATGGAAGGTTCGATAGATGATCTGACAGATTCATTGGTTTAAATAAGGAGCGGCTGAGCATGTCACCTGTAAATGTTCTAAACATCAGATACGCATTGAAAGGTTCCGGCTGGCCTTGTGTCTCAAAAAGATCTATAATTCATTATAGTTCAATAGTTCATTCATTGATTCACCTAGGCGATGAGACATGGGTCTGGGATGAGGAATTGGCATAACCCTTTGTGGTCATAGTGTGGATTCCCGAAGAATGCCGCCAACGATATTCGCTCAGTCATGCGATAACAAGTTCATGCAACTTCAAAGGCAATGGAAAGCTCGAAGGCACCTCGCAAAAAAGCCGGCAACTTTCCATCCATCGAAGCAGCGCCGCTCCTGACCGGCCTTCACCGGCCTTCTCACCGTGTTCCCCGAGGGCGCCGAGCTTCAGATGAACGCTCGTGCCGTGGAAGCGTCGCAGAATGCTTTGAGTCACGTGGGTGCTGGCGCCAGCGAGAGCAGGCTGGCGGGTCAGGGACGGCAGATGCAGATGCGAGTCCCACCTGCTTCCAGGTGACTCCTCAGAGAGAGAGAGAGAGAGAGAGCGCGATGGAAGTCCACAACCTTTGGAATTACATCGTAGATGCATCGTGAATCTGAACCCTTTTGATTTGGCGACCTTTGCAAGATTGGAGTGAGTTGATGGTAACGCAATAACCCCCACAAGACCAAAGATGTCCTTCCCACCTCCTAGAGGAACATCTAAAGTATAGTATAGAACTCCTCACGCTTGAGCAACCGAAAAGCATCGAGCTCCATGACGCAGGTTTTTGGGGGGTTGCACGAGTTTGGGAAGATTGAAGATGGCTATCATCATTTCTTACATTCTATTCCACTACATGCCTTTCCCTAAAGAGTTCCTCAAAAACACGGGACACAGCCCAGCCAGGCGCGGCATATTCTCCGCCCTCTCCCAGCTCACCTGCAAGGAGGCGCGTGTGAAGAACTGGTCCGGGAGGGCCAGCCTTGGCAGGGTAACCAGACCCAGCTTCACCTGCTCAAGGGGATGGCTGGGGGGACGGCGCAACGACATGACCGGCCAGGTAGGTCTTGGGTTCTTGGCCTTTCTGTGGCTTGGCCGCATTTGGCGCACGCGTCATCACGCGCGCGCAGGATGGACTCAGCAACCTGGAACGACCTCGCAAGACAGTTCACTGCATGCCTCGCATGTGGCTTGGGAACACTCCTCATGTGTCATGCGACGAGCATGATGAGCTCCCTCGAGGCGATGTTGCGATGTTTGCATCTTGCATTTGGCCTAGGGATCTGGTCGGCACATCCAGTTCAGCTAGCTACCCATGGAAAAGCAGATTTCTTGCCTTCCAGGCATGACTTGTGGGCTGCGGGCGCCCGTTGCATCTTCTTCGACCTCACCTATATGCATGTTTGGAGCCCTGGACTGTTCCGACGGTTGCTATAGGTGTCAAACGGAATGCAGAATTGAATCTGATGTGGTCATCATTCTCAAGGGTGGTGCTTTGCTACTTTGATGCCCCATCCATTAACCAAATTAGACAACTGCTGGCTAACACATTTTTCACCACGCCATGTACTTGCTGTGCATTGGCCACCTTGGAGTGCTTCACACACTCAATCTGACCCTAACCTACCAAGTGTCATAGTTGGGCCAGAGAATATCTTCCATGGCCGGTGCTTTGATTTCGACAAGGACAACCGGAAGACATTGTAAAACAACATTCACAAAACTCTAGCGCATTAACACTCTGGAGACAAAACTGCACATGTTTTCTTCACCGAACTTTTAACTCAACAAAAACAATTGTCAAACCGAATGCTTCATCGGAAATCGAGTTGCACATGTTTCACCAAAATGTCAGCAACTTGTGACGCATTGTATGAAAAACTTCGATCTGTTTTGCCTCCTCAGTGTCTTTGGTTAATTTTTCTTCTGAAAAGCATACACTACTTCTGGAGATCAGTGCTTGCATTTATGTTCACTTGCCCTTCAACCCTTCCTTGACATTTCCCCACATACATATACCTTGTCAAGTAACCCATTGACACGGGCATTCCCTCAGGACTTGACACGGGCATTCCCTCAGGACTACAAAAACTGAACTATCCTGAGTGGTCCTGGTACATCTTTTCCGGTGCATAGTTGCAGCTACTTGGGTGGTTCGCGTGGGCACCTCATGCCACGAATGTTTTGCATCTTCCTGCAACTGGTGATCTGAGGTCTTGCTTGCAGGTGTGCATTTTTTCCAAGGAAGCTCAAGTCGAAGATCACGGCAAAAGGCAAAAATCCAGGAACATGTCAACTCTACAGGTGGGATCCCTTTGAGAAGTTTATCTAGTGGATCCTTTTGAGGCACAGCAGGCCCAAAAATCATGTATAGGGCACGGGGTGGTAAGGCTCCAGGTAAGGCCCGGCTCAGCTTCGCAGAGGTGTGGTCCAAGTTCTTGGCATTTCTGTGGCTCGGCGTTCCCGATCCAGGCGGTTTGGGTGGAGCCGAAAGCCTTCGGAGCCAAAGGAAGAAGTCCAAAGCCATCAGATCAAAGGTGTTTGATGGGCTTTTTTTAAAAGCATCCGAGAGTTTTTTTCCAGGGACGTTCTTCTGAATTTATGGACCCCCCATTTGTAGAATCTGTGGAGTTTGTTGGACTTGCTCGACTTTCCTTCATTACTTGCTGGCGGTTGGGGGGCAGTCCAGCGCATCGACTGAATCGAGAGCGTCTTAGCAGGGCTCCACCCTGCTGGGACCGCACCGTAGCCGGTGGTCGCCAGCCTGAGGTGCTTTCTGAACGCCACCCTGCTGCTGGGAGAAGAGAGCTTCTACAGCTTCATGCCCTTTGAGCTGGATCAAGTGGATCATCTCAAGAAAACTGTTAGAGCTGGTTTGGAAGATGCATTTGCGGTGGGGATTGGTTTGTCGCTTGTCTGTGGTAGGGCGTAGGCGTTCCGTTGGACACACGCATCGTCGCCACTTGTCTTCTCAGGTCACAGTTGCCATCGTCGTCAAGCTGTTTGCTGAACCATCGGGTGGGCTACTGCGATGCCAATGGCATCAACCTCTTTCACGAGTCGGTGCGGGTTCAGGCCGAGGGTTCTGACACCTCAACTCAGAAAACATGGGGCAAAATGTGGTGAATTGTCTGAAGCTTCTTGAGGCTTGAGGTGGAAGTTGTCAGACTTCCACATCCTTTCAAGTCGGAAGTGCATGGGCTAAAGTGCCAAAACCGGACACATACACACACATGTCACACGTGTGTTGTTCCCGTCAACGAAGCTAACCACAGACCCGTAACCAACATGTTGATCAATTTTTCTAGGTTTTCATGCTTGGGATTGCTTGGGTACTGTGCGCGGGGCCCGCGGAACAGCGGCAGCAGTTGTGTTTCTCGTGTTGGGTGGACTGGGGCTATAATTTGCAAACGCTTCATGTAAACTGTTTGCCGCAGCCGTCCTTTCAGATGCAGCGTGCTAGCAAACTTTGTGTTTCTTTTGTGTGTTGTTTTCTGGTTGCCTTTGAGCCGGTATATTTTTCTCTAGGTTGAACAATTTTTGCATCTTTTTGCAATTGATCCTTGAGTTTCGGATTCTGCTTTGGATTTCTTTACGAACTAATCCTCTATATATCCGACTTAATTTTCCCAACTGTTTTTATCATTGCTGACCGGGCGCGGTGGGACTGGGAAGAGGTAGCGGCTAGCAGCTCTTGCTTATCGTGGTCAATCTGGGTTTCGCACTTCTCTGCATTACTTCAGCAGTGTTCGTCCGACCTCCATTTTTAACGCACACAAGCTCATGCCTGCGTGCGCAGTACACAGCAGTGGCATAGTTCTCACATCCAGACAGCAAGAGCAAGAGACTTCGGGTTGACCGGACTGTGGTGTCTTCACAATTCTAGAAGGTGCGTAGGGAAGGATTGGAATGAGCCTCCTTCCGACACGATCCATCCCTTTTGGATCCATCCCGGTCGGGTCGGTCGGAGGCACCACACCCGTCGGTCTCATTTCCGCGCCTCTGTCGCCGCGGGGGGTGGAGTCGCAGGTGGTGTTGAGCCCGGTGGAGTCGCAGAGCCTCCAGTTGGAATCCCCAAGCCTGTGGACCCTCTCGCTGGTCCTGGTGGGGAAGGGCTAGGGAGCGCGAGGAGCTTGCGGGAGCGAAGAGGAAGATCCTGGTAGGTCCCGGTAGGTCATGGCTTGGGGGGGGGCAGAGACGAGCGCTCGTTTTTGGGGACACATCTGCTGGTTTGATCTCTTGGAGCTCTTGTTTTTTCTTCGTTTCTGGGGGGTTTATCAAGTTTATTTGTTTGCTTTGTGGTGCTGTATACGGGTGACACTGAGGAGTTGGGTGGGTCAGGAAAGCCCTATCGGGGCGGGTTCTTTTCGGTGTCCCTGGCCACGGTCGACAGACGCCTCCTTGTCCAGGCACATGGTTCGCAGCTTTACTTGCCCGGGCTTGGTGGCATCTTCAGATCATGAAGTGAAACTACATGTCAAACCAATACTTCAAGGAGTGCAATATTGTCAATTGGTACTTCCCCACATAAGCAGGGGAGTTGATCCTGGGTGTTTTCACACACTTCCCGGTCAATGCTGCAAAAAGGTTCTTTGAGGAAGAGCCACGTACCCCTGCGGCAGGTGGTGGCTTTTGCCAACTCCCGCTACGTCACCAAGTTGCAGGCCGGACTGCGGTGGTCGGATTAGCCGTGGTCGGTTCCTTGATGTTCCTTCAATAGGGGGGGTTCTCACGGTCTCTGCGTGGATGCCACGAGCAACTGGGGTTTAAGCCATGTGCCGCCATTCCGTGACTACAATTTGGGGTTCTTGGTTTTGCCAACCTGTTGGAATTGATGCTCGCTTGATGCCACAGGCCTTCCTCGTGTGGCCTCTGGCCTTGCTGGGCTTACTGCTGTGCAGCGTGCACGCAGCGCGCACGCTGGTCGACCTGGGCAACTGCAGCTTGGTTCGACAGGGATCGTGCCTTCACAACGTCTGAGGTCCGAGCCCTCTCTGCTTCCTCCTCAGCCACTCCTTTCCCAGAATCGCTTGAGGGTGACTTCCCCCAAGACCAACTAGGATGGACACCCCAAGATGTTTGGGTTTGCTGCAATTGCCTTGCTTCATACAGGTTCATGCTGAAGAGGGCGCACCACCTCCTTCAGAGTCACTCATCCTCTCACTTTGGGCATCCGAATGCTTGAGCCGTTTTCCGGCGACGGCTTTCGTCTAGAAACGGTGGGTGCCACAGCGCCGCGCCGAGGTCGTGCCATCTCCGAGCACCATCCAGTCACGTGGTTGGCCGCTGCCCCGCTGGGCAACAGGTGCGGGCATTTTTTTGGGGGTGTGAGATCCGCGCTTGGGCCCACCCAGAGGTCAGCCCTTGTCGAAGTACTTTCGTGCAACCTCCTGGGACAAGACTGAGAGCGACTTTAACATTTCCAGTGTTCGGAAGAAGTTTCTCAGTTTCTGGAGGGATGAGTGCAAGTCCTTTGTAGATACATCCGCTGCTCAAGCGATCTGAAGTGACTTGGTGAAGTGCTTGAGTGTGCTGGCAGCGTTCACATGGGGGGAAGAATCAAGAGATGACTTAGGGGTGACCTTTTCAATCCTGCGTTCACATGGGGCGTTCGTCCTGTTTCAGGGACGACAAGGGATGACTTTCTCGTTGGGCTGTAGCATAGACAAAGTGCTTGTGGTAGAGTGCAATTTTATGGTCCCATGGTCCCCATGGTCTACCCCCACACGCTCACTGGAGGGAGCACATGCGATCAGAATGGCCGCGATCAGAATGCGCCGAAGCACCAGCTGAAGCAAGATATGCACCACCTGGCATGCTCTTGTGATGACTGTTTTCCTAGCACTCCCATTCTTTTGTCTGTTCACAGTTGGCCCATTGGTTGAGGAGCAGCCCCGTAGTGACCTAGCGTAGCTGCATGCAACAGAGGGACACGGATGGACAGAAACATCATACATCATCATACGGTACATATCTTGGGCAGAATCCTTAGCTAAGCCTTAGCCCTTGCAAAATATAAGCCCACCGGTCGAGAACTGTGTTCCTTTTGCTGTGTTCGTATGCTAGCAACCATAAAATCCATAGAAAACAGAGTTTCATCTCGGAATTCTCTTTTTGGTAACTTGCGTTTCGCTGTAGTGAGCACAGTATTTTGTTTACTTTCTTCACTTTCATTTTGGACATGCGCCATTTTCAGAGGCATTATGTAAGAGGCAAAACGCTGGTTGGGCGCAGCGAAAGGCAAACCCTCAGAACTCTAGTTGCAAATGTGATGGCTGTGCATCCTGCTGCGAGCACAAGACAACTCTTCTCATTTTGCGGTTCGACCATGCCTGCTCCAACCACAGCCTGTTACGGTAACTGTATTCACGAATGGTATGAGAACAGTGACAACGGTCCGAAAAGAACATTTTTGAGACAAAACGGTGAACTTGCAGTCTATATAAAGGTTCGAAGGATGATGATGATGATGATGATGATGATGATGATGATGATGCTGATGATGATGACGATGATGATGATGATGATGCTGCTGCTGCTGGTGATGATGACGATGATGATGATGATGATGATAATGCAGTAAGAACAAAGGTGCTGTGGTGACAAAAAGGCAATGCAATAACTTGCTGAGTGCTGACTTCAGCAAAGGGCACAGTGGCATGCACGCTCATTCTGTCATGTGCTGAAAAGTGCATTTTACTTTCGAAAAGACTCCCCGAGTGGACCTCTTGGTGGCGCAGACCTCCCCGCGCGAGGTCTGCGCCCTCCGCTGCTGCGGAGCGTGTGGCCGAGTACTGCTGGGTTCCTCCGCTGCCCAACCTGCACGGCCCGAGCGCGGCACGCGCGGGCGCAATGGTGGAGAAGGCCGGGAAGATCGGGGTGGCAGTTGGCCGAGGTGTCACAAGTTTTGCGGTTATTCCTGAAGGGGGGCATAGGATAGACTATATTGCCGAATCCCAAATCAGTGAAATGAGTCAAACATCTTCAACAACATGTCAAGTTCATGAAGGCTCTTACTACCATTTTTGTGACTCGATTTGCTCAGGTGGCGGCTGTTGTCGAGGTGGATAAGTGTGTCCCATCTCTTGCTCCGGAAAGTGTCCGGTACTCACTAAGGCATCTAGTCACAGTCTATGTACATCTTTGTCTCCTTGGTGGTCCCACTTATTGGAGGGTGTCCTGCACAACTCATGCTTCCGGCTTCCATCCTTTGTTTGCGGCCTTTTCTTGCCAGGAGCCTGTGGCCGACTTTCTCTCGCGGCCTCTCGGGCGCACCGACGTGGAAGCGGCGAGAGGACGTCGGAGACTCCGTAGGTCATAGGTTTTCCCTTCATAACTGGGCATCTTCCAGTGACAGCGACATCACCCTCCTCACCCTCAGCACCAATGGAGAACTCTTCGAAACGAAGAGCGCTCGTGGGAAGCGGACTAGGAATCCAGTCTTGGTCGTCCAGTGAAGGTCGTAAAGGCAGACTATGGCGGACTAGCAGGTAGCAGGTGTGCCACTTTCCCCATTTGTTTGCCTGTTTGCATGTCGGAAGAGTTTCTTATATATGCAATTATGCAGCATGAGTACTCAACATACGGTTGCCTGTCCCAAGTGGTTTTAAAGGGTTGGGGCATTGGCCCTGGTGGAGAAACACCTGCACCGAACACAAGCTCGAAACCTGTGACGGGCTGATTGGTACATAAGTGCATAATGAACATTCAGTGGCTGGCATACCACCTATTTCAGTGGGCAAAAGCAGGTCCGCGGCCCCTACCAGATAGAAGATCACCTTTCAGGAATGCAGACACACATATCGCGGATGTCCTCATATCCCAAACTCCACTTGCTGACCACCATGCCTTGGGCCAATGGCGATCCCAAGGCAGGGCATTGACATCAATATGACTCTTCTGATCCGGGCCACTTGGCTGAAGGTCTGACGAAAGATCTGAACGAAGGCTCTGTGAACCTCTGGTTTCTTGCTATGCTGGTCGAACCATGCTGGTTCAATCTTCCATGAAGATTCATGAAGGGTCTTTATATCCTGATATAATAGACCCCCAAAATGGATAGAACATGAATGAACATGATAGAACAGTAGATCCCCACTCAGAATGTCTTCTCCAAAACCCTTTGGCAGGCCTAGTCGGCCCCGCGACGCCGTGAATCGTCGACTCCGTCGCCCGGCTCCAAGGACGTGTGGACGCTGGGCAGAGATCTGGGGTATGGGGAGTATGGGGGGAGGAGTGAAGGGCTGGAATTGGTGGGCGTCCTGGAATTCCGGGAGAGTGGATACACTCTGGTCAGTCCAGTCACGTTTCTGAATTTCTTCTTCAGGTGCTACTGCTACTTTGAAGTTCATTGCGTGTGCCCTCGCCCAGCTGACGTTTGGATTCAGACGCCTTCTTTTTCGCCCAAGAACCGGCTCGGCTCGGCTCAGAGGATCACCTGGATGGAGTCTGCCACCTTCAGCTTCCGCTTTGAGAATCACACGAAGGTCTCCTCCTACTGCGAGGCAAGGGACGGGATCTGACGGAAAGCAAAGGGTGGTGGTGAACAGAGTGACCTGTGCCGAGTGCTTTCGGGGGATTTTGGCATTTTGGAGAGATGGGAGGAGGAGTTGGTGAGACAAGTTGCAACAAATTGCTGGTGCGGGAGTTGAATTTCTGGCTTTCACCCTCTTCGAGGCTCAAAATGCAAGCTGAGCAGTGGCTGGACATGGCTGGACCATTTTTCCACAAGGCGAACATGGATCGGTCTAGCACATTTCTGAAGCGTAACAGTGGTAGACTGGAGACATCATCGGAACCCCAGGCACAAACAAAGTTGAAGCTCCGTGCGGTGTGGGACATGTGATTGAAGGTGCTCAGATCGGTGCAGGGAAGACGGGGTGTGGATCGTGCACCTGCAGGCTTCTTTTGGACCACCCCTGCCACCAAAGAGAGAGATGTCCAGGATTGGGTTTCTGATATGGAGCTGGGGAGTCTTTTGCAGGGTGCTTCACCCCGTGCTTCCCTGCCAGCCTGTCAGGTGCTTCAGATGCCCACGATGTCCCACTGCCTGCGCTGGATGAACAGCAGCGAGTTGGGCAACTCGATCAGCTGTCATGCCACCTTGGCCAAAAACCGGCTGTGTCTAAGGAGTGTGGGGATTGATGTCGTGATTACAGTGGTTTCAGAGGTTCGATGGCACTGGCATCCCCAGTGATGTCTGGGGTCCATATAAACCACCGAACTTGGGGTAACTGGTGCCATCGAACCTCTGCAGATGTTGACCGGGCCGGGCAGGCATTTTGGGCCCATGACTCCACCCTGCATTTTTTGGACCATATCTCTTAGTTGTCGACTACTAGCAGTGAGTAGCCAGCATCAGCAAAGACTTCTGGTCTTATGGTACCATACGCCACAGACGAACCCTAAGAGGCCCATGCGGTATCTTGGGCAGCGGAGAGGAAGAGCGAATCGGCATCCGCAATAGCCCCAAATAGAGGTCTCTGCAGTTTGTACCACGCCCTTTCTGGCTGTTTACTATTTTTTTATTTCACCGAAGATGCAGTAGCACGGAACTTCACGGAACAGTAGGAGTGTCTCAGCAATTTTGACGATTTGTCATTGCATAACCCAACCTGTTTGTTTGTTTGTTTGTTTGTGTCTCTATTCCCCAGCTCGGCACTCAACCACCCTGGGCCCTGGCCAAAGGGAGGCCGGTCCTCTCTTCTGATAAAGTCCCCAGGTCGGTCCTATTCCCCAGTCGTAGTGGGCAAAATTATCTACAAATATATACATATATATTTTTTTGAGTCACGCCCTTGCTAACAACTATCATCATCATCATCAGAAGAATCCAGTAGCTTGTGGCCGTGGGATGTAGTAGCACCTGGTTTGCATTTCTCTTCGTCTTGCCTTTCAGGGGCCCAGCCTGGATGATGTCCTTGCACTGCAAGCGAGCGGCGCAGAATTGGAAAGCCTGGCGGAAGCCGGGCGCTCGCGGCTGGGACCATGGCGAAACGGGACGTGAAACGGGAGACTGGGGGACGGTGATCGGAGCAGAAGCAGATGGGGTAGTGGGACCTGGTATGACCTGGCAGTATGAAGCTGCGAAGCACTTGACTTAATGTAGGCTTTTTGGCAGCTGTGTGGATGCCTTGCCGTGTGAGGGGTCGTTCTGCTCCTTGACAGGTTTGAAGGTGTCGCATCCAAAAAAAACGACAACTCACACATGTAGACTCTGGAGGGAGGCTATTAGGTTGGTGGCCATTGCATTAGTAAATTACAAGGTATAGACTCTGGCGCCCTTCGATGTTTTCCTGAAGCTTCAAGCCATTGAAACTCTTGGACCGATGCCTCTTGGCTCAAGCAACGCCTCTGAGACCGAAACCCCAACGGCTGTCCATACCCGATTTTGAAGCCGAGAAACCCCAATGGCTGCCATGCGTAGTGTGCTTTTTTTGGCATCTCGGCACTGAAGCGTTTTCCTTTGCAAGGCTGAGGGTGCAAAACGATAAAAAGGGATCATGATCCATTAGATCCATCGTCGAACCAGATCCCAGCAATCCTGTTCTGAGCTCAGGATTGTTCCCAGCAATCCATCAGGATGTAAATTGTGTGGTCTGAGGCATTGCTGGTCTCCAGCTCTGCAATGTTCAAGCGTGACATGAGAGATGTCATGGAGGAGGAATTTCCAGACCTCAAAGGTCTGGGTGACAAGCTGGCTGATGCAGCAAAAGGTGCCAAGGAGACTTGGCTGTTCCATGTTTATTTTCAAAGAATATCCTGTCTGACCAATCTTATGAGTGATTTGCTTGAAGTTCTCATGGGGTGGGGTTGGACACTCTCTTCCATGTGCTTTGTGGGACTTGCCTGAACTCATGTCGTGGGGAGGGGAAGCCCTTGCTGCTCAGGATGTGATGCAACATGGGCAGGAGGCTGTCGAAGGTCTCAAGGACAGGCCATGGGGCCATATGGGGCCGTGGAGTGGCAAATCGACTTGAGAAAACGACACCAGCCCTGTCAGGTCAAACCCCTGTCAGACTCGGCAGGCCCCTAGCCCCTAACCAGCCCTCTTGAGGGATTTGAGCCAGGCTGGCTGAACTGGCGCCTGGCTGGAGGGACGCCCGCCCCCCTTGTTTCGGAGGTCTGATGCATTCACCGTTTCACGGTGCGGCCCGGCCGCATGGAGCGGTGCGGCGCCTTCAAGTCCATTGGTTGGAACGCCTTGAAAAAAGCAGATGGGGAGAAGAAGTACCAACAGAGCACGGTGCCTGACATGAACTAGAAACTCCAGTCGATGGACCCGCTGTCGGTTCGCCGGCTCACCAGGAGCCGCGTGCTGAACACAGAAAATCACTCAACATCACAAAAGACCAAGTCATAGATCAGCGTCCACGGCCTTTCTGGGGGCTTTTCCAATCCTTTCGCTGTGAGGATTTGGCCCTGGGGACCTTTGAAGCTGGTGCCCAGCAAGTGAACCAGACCTTAAAGCACGTGGGCGCGGAGCTGCAGAAGATGAACCGCACCGCGCAGCAGGAAATCCAAGAGGTGGACCGCGAGGTTCGCCACAACCCCCGCCCACGTCGCCGGTCGCTCGGGCGAAGAAGAGTCGACCTGGTCCGGAGTGGTGGGGTGGAGCGGGGGTTGAGGGCGAATTTGTGGAGGGCCCAAGAGCCTCTCCAGACTGAAGCTCGCGCGCACGCTCGACAGTTTGTGGCCGGGCGATCCTGTTTCAACGAATTCCGCCTTCGTCTCCTTTTTCGAGAACTCCAAGAGGCGAACGACATTTGTTTCTACTAGCTTTATTGCTACTAGTAACAATAAGCTAGTAGTAACAAGTGCCACGCTAGTAGTAATAAGATGTAATAAATGCCTTACTAGTAGTAACAAGAAGCTCTTAATTTAGATTTAATTTACAGTAAGTCTAATAGCTTTATTGTTACTAGTAGTAAGGCACCTGTTACTACTAGCGTGGCACTTTATTACTACTACCCCAAAAAAGCCGCCCATGAAACCCGAACCTTCGGGTCTGTGAAATTTCATCCCTCTCGACTTGGTGAAAGGTCTTCCCGCACTGGTCTGCAAGGGGGGAGGCCGCTGCACCCAGCAACCGTGCGACGAAAAGGCACGCGCGCAGGTTCAGGAAGCCCGCGACAAGTGCAGTGTCTTTACCTCGGGTGCCTCGAAGGTGGTGAAGAAGGTGGAGCCTCTGTTTGATCAGGCGGGGGCCGCAGCAGAGATCATATGGACCATGGATTGGGGAAGTGAGATGAGGTGAGTTTCTTGGAGCAGGAGGTGCAGGATTGCTTGATAGGACCAACGCCCTACTCACATGCAGAGTGATTGAAGAGACTGCTTCAGCTGCCAAAGAGACAGTCTCAAGACAAATTTGACATCTTGGGAGAACTTCCTCCAAAAGAAGACGTCCAAGCACCCCAAATCCCATTCCCATCCTCTCGCCGCAGCCAGGTGGTGGAGAAGTTGAAAGCGGTCAGCCAGATGGCCAAGGAGGTTCTGTCCAAGCTCAACCAGGCCGAAGTGCCAGTGTGAGTGCCCTCGCAGGAAGAGGGCGCTAGAGTCCACAGGCTTTTCCAACCCGAAGGGTGCAAGAGAAACCTGCGAATCCGAAATCAATATTTCACACGCACAACTATATGTGGATTTGTGTATTACATACAGGTCCATTGACCCATTGCCCATTTAAAGCCCAGTTTGGCCAGGGGAAGGCGGCAGGAACCTTGGACAAGAGCATGGGCGTGGTAATCGACCAAGCCAACGTTTGGAAGTCTGCCATGGAGGGCTTGGAGAAAAAGCTGCAGGAGACCCATCAGTTGCTATCAGGTGCGCGCTTTAACCCCCTTCTGTCCTTGCTGGATCATTTCTGACATCCAATGCAAATGCCACGGCAGAAACATATCCTTGCGCACCTCCGGGAATTTCTGCCTTGGTTATTTGTTTTGAACCTTGAATATTCTACTTGAGGATGATCCGAGGATAAAGAATCCCAAATGATCAATTCAACTGCAAATATATAGTTTTGACTGGAGGCTTTAACGCGGGAAACCCCACTTGCCCATAGTTTCGAGGGGTTGAGCAGCGCAAGACATGGTTTTGCCTCCTCTTGCCTTATCAGGAGGTGAACGAGCTATTGGCCTCGAGGAGCAAGCCCAGCCACAACACATCCAAGGCTGGCATGGAAGTCACACTGGCTCGGCATAGTGATCAACCAGCTGGGGAGGGAACGAGTTCGGGCTGCGTCAGACACAACTCCGTGAAATGGATCGGGGACCTGGTGCAATTGCAGGGGTGAGATTTGCACTGATTGAAAGGGCTTGTCTTTGGCGTAGGGTTTGTCAATCAATTGCCACCCATGTCTTCCATTCTGATGACCGGTGGTCAAGATTTATCAGGTTTAACTGAAAGACCCAACAAGGGAGCCAACGACCTACCCCTTTAGATGGGTGGTAGTCATCCCTGATGCCAACAGCGGTGTTACCTACGAGGGTGAATTCCTGGCTAATCTACCCTAGTCCTCAACATAGACTTGGAAAACTGCTTGTGTTTGCGAGGGGGCACGAGGTTGAGGTGCGGCAGGTTGCGGTGTTGAGAAGGTTCCGGTGCACGTCCATGAGCCTCGCTTAGGGCAGAACATTCACGTAATCCACTCCTTTCAAACCGGGTGTCGGCACTTACTGGAGTTCTTTCGGCGCAGTCAGGCCACCAGTGTGTCGCTGCTGGGCCTGGAGATCTTCCCTGAGGAGGAATTGTCCGATGCCTTGCGCCTGTTCACGCAGTCGGAGATCGGAGTTCTTCTGAGATCGGTGGGAGAAGGCAATGACTGGGAGGGAAAGCCTTTTTCATCGTCCTTAAGGACCTCATGGGACCCTTTGCGACCTCATGGGACCCTTTGGGACCTCAATCACAGTTTGGAGGGCTTTCTGGTCGATGGATCCTTTCCACACGTGGCCCTGCTTGAGCAGGAGCTGTCTCCTTGTCCGTGAATCATGGAGCTGCTAACAGTTCAAGCGAAGACCAGCACCTGGAGACCAAGGTGAAACAGTTCATGGTTGACCAACCCATCCCCACCAACTTGTGTTTTTTGGGGCGGGGGGAACCGTTTTGGAACCGGCTTCCTTTGGACCTGACCGAAAGCCACCCCCTTCCGACCGACCGGCCCTTCCACCAAGCCAGCCTCGCTGACTGAGGCGGGGGCCCGTGGGGCAGTTGAGCTCGGCGGCCGAGGCCTTGCGAGGAATGGCCACGCAGACGGAGGAGGCCATGGCCGGTTTCGTGGACGGTGCCCTGGAGGCGCCGGCCGTCGCGGCGTTCGGGGCGACATGGGGGCGGGTGCCCTGGAGGGGCGTTAGGAAGTGGGTTGATGCTGAACTGGGTGCCCAGGCCCGCACCGAATGGGCGCTGGAATGACCGAAAACCATCGAACACCCAAATCCAGATGGTGGCTTCGAGTGCACACAGGATTTTTATACCTGCCAGTGCTGCCAGGCAAGCGATCACGCTCTATCAATTCTCAATCCTTTGAACGAGCCTTTCATGTGGGTCCTGCACCAGTCACCAGGGGCACCTTCACCCCAACCGCACCGATCGCCACCCCCCGTTTCACGCCGCCCGGCGTGGATGCGGATGCGCAGGAGGCATCCACCGTGCTCGCCGGCCGTGCGCTCGCCAGGCCGCCAAGGGGAAGGTGCCTGGAGATCTCATGGGCAACGTCTCCAGCATCTTGCGTGGCGTGCAGGCGGAAGCGACGCTGGAGCTGCAGCCCTTCGGCCTCCCGGCGAGAGGAAGGGGGGATCGGGATGGGCAGTGTAGAGAGGGGGTGGGTTTTCACAAGCTGAAAACATACAGACAGTAGCTCAGAGGTTCACCACCAGATGAGGCGACGAAATGTAGGTCACTGGTGGAGCTATGTTTTTCGGGATGTATTTGGGACGGACATCAGTCTCTTAGGGAAGTGACCCAGCAATCAGTGACCACGTCTATTCATATCCAAGTTGGGCACTTACCTCATTTGGCTTTGTCTCCATGGGACGCCCAAACAATGGGGCCGCACGGGGGGTCGTTGGGGAGGAAGAAAGTGGGCGTTCTTTTCCTCCTTGAAACGGCACGGTCGAACCGATCTCATTTTCTGCATGTGTCATTTCAGCCTTCTGGCATGAGATCCCACACATCCAAGGAGAGATTGGGCAACAGATTCTCGGCCCAGCATTCAACAGGCACTTTTTAATGGGTTGCAGGCTCAAGGCAGGAAGGACCACCAACCTAGGTTTGGAGTTTTGCTTTGCATGGCTCTCAGTGACGTCTCAGTGGGTCTGGGCCGTTTTTGGCCCATGACGCCCAAAAGAAAGCGGTGCCGATGGGTTTTTCAGGATGGTGGATGGCCTCAAGAAGGCTGCCTCCGACGCGGGTCTCGACTTCAGCGCTGCCAGCAGCGTGATGCTCTTGGGTTTTGCCACGCTGCTGAGTGTGGCGCCAGCGCTGTTCTGAGGCAAAGGCCGCGAACGAAGAAGACGACGTTTGGTCTGGAGCTTCTGGATGAAGATGTTGCCAGAATCCAGGCTGGCAAGAGTTGCCACACTGGGTGGCCTCTGCATCACGCGCGGACTGGCGGACTGGATGTGACAGCGCTTCAAGTGAACTGCAATCGAGTGCCAGTGAGGAGCTGGTGGAGAAAGATGGAGCTGGAAGGAAAGGGGGGCAAAGCCATGAAAGGGCGGACCAGTACCTCCCGAACATGCACCCCACAGCCCCAACCCATCTCATTGGCGCCGAGCCCCTAAATCGCATTTGTTTGGTGCCAATGATCTGCACTTGGACGGTGCCGACGCCTTTCGGCTCCGGCTTTGTTCCCACTATCCGAGGCCCCACTTGTCGGATCGGCAGCGGCTGCAGCAGTTGCTTCGGATCAGCGAGTCTTGGCAGCTGAAGCTGCTGCAGAGCCGCGGCTGCCGCGCGCGGATCAGCGGCCCGGTGGGACGGAGCTTGGGGAGGGCGGCTTGGGAGGACGGGCCCGGGCAGCATGGATGTCAGTCATCGCCGAAGAACCAGTGGTGAAGCATTGAAACATTCGAGAGTCGACGCGACCCTCCCCCGCCCAGAAAGAGGGAAGCGGACCATGGGACGTACTCCACATCCATGGTTTGTTTGATAGAGGGAACTCTTGCAACAAGATGCATATGCATGCACCGTATTTTCGAGAACTCTTGCACCGACTCCATTTGCTTGGTGAGTGTCAAACCCACACAATTGGCAGAACTGAAGCTGTTTTTCGTATCTGAGTCGCAATTTTTGCTCATGTTCACCAGATGTAGGGGGGCTTTCATTTGGCGGGCATCCTTTTCTTCCCAGCCCTTCTGCCAGTTGCCACGTCCTCACGCGACGCGACCCAGGTGGTCAGAATTTCGCTCTGCGCCCACCAAGCTTAGGCGAAGAGAAGACTTACAGCAGGACCAGACTTTGGGGAAGATGTTTGGACCAGACTTTGGCCGGATGGCAGCAGATGTTAGATGAAAAGAAATGGGTTCCGCCGCTCCGCCCCTGCTGCGAAGTCATCCTCATCCAATTATCCTCCAACCAACGGCTTCGGCGTTGGGAGGCGAAGACGTGCCTGGGGGCGAGAAAGCCTTGGAACGGCACTTGCTGCTGCTGGCTCAGCACATGTGGGAGACAGAGGCGCCGTGCCAAGGGGGCTCGAGAGCGGTCTGTTGTTGGCGCGTGGCGCCAGAAAACCAGAAAACCATAGAACACCGGGAACATGTCGATGCAGCTGTGATGGAAAAGGTTTCTAACGAATCGGAGGCATTTTCTACCTACAAAGCTTTCATCCTTGGGACTTTAGGATGCATACCATGTGGATCAATGTGGTCTTGGACCTGTGCCCGTGCGCAGGTCCTGGATGATCTGCTGCATTTGCACTACAAGGTTCCAGGCCAGACTTCCCGAAGGGAGGGGTCGGCAGGAGGGGTCCATCCACATGTTTCTGGATGCTGTTTTCCCCAGCAACTGGCGCATGTCGTTGTACAAGCAAAGCTGGCCTATCCAAAGCGAACCTCAACCCACACCACAATGAATCTGGTCCGGTTGCCATGGAAGCCGGTTTAGGAAGGATAGGAAGGTGCTATTTTCCTACCCTTGGTCCTGGGTCGTGTATGGTACATTCTGTACACCTTCTCTGGCCTCCCCGGCCTCCGTGAGCGGCCGGCCGGCCGCTGTCGGTCCGCAGCCCCAGGCGTCTCCGTTGCCGCGCGGCCTTCGGCCGTGGAGCTCCATGGCACCCAGGAGAGCTATCTGCAGCCGAGCTTCGTAGGTGCGGCGGGGGACACTGCCGTCGGGTCCGGGTGTCGTGTCGTGTGTCGAACTCCGTTGAGCGGGAGGCAGAGGTTAGTAAAGGATAGTAAAGGTCCAGGTGTCGAAAGGATAGATCTGATACCTGGACCTGTGATACTGGATATGTGATGATTGTGATACATAACTACTACTTCATTCTATGATATATGACGTAGAATGATATGTGATATGTGATGATTATGATATTTAAATATAATTAATGTATATATAATATATATATATATGTATGGCGATCGTTTTCGTCTGAAGGTCAGATTCAATGATTAGCACAGCCTCCGGGAGGTTCATCAAGGCAACATTTTTCCACCCTTAATGTAGACTCTTGATGAATCACCTCCCGCCATTGAATTGAAACTTCATAAGGGGGTTTATCAATCAAGAGTCGGCCCCATGGTTCGGCGACCTAGGCTGCGTGGCCCGCATCTTCCACGGCTGCGCTGAAAGGGTGGCGTCGGCCACCCTGACGCACTTCCGGAGTCTCTGCCAGGTGAGGTGGGGCCTTGTAAGGTGACAAGATTGGAGTTCAAAGACCGGGGGACGGATGGTTTTGATGGAAGTAGGTCTTCAAGAGTTTGGACATGACATGTAAAGGTACTAGTGGTAGATATCAGATATCTATCAGATATATCTATATATTATATATAGTTGATGTTTCAGTGAATGGATGCTCTTTTGAATCTTTTATATGTTATTACAGGGCTTGTCCCATCCCCAGAACCTCGCTACATTTGCTAGAGTCCTAGAGGTTTTCACTCACCATCTTCTTCAGGATGGTATATGCCATGCTGATACCCAAGATCCAATTCTTTTACTGTACAACTTTTACTCCCAAATGGGGACCTCCCAGATGGCCCTCCTTGGATCCCTTTGCCGACCAGAGGTTGGACCAAATGCTCGAAAATCCCAACCACCACTTATAGTTTTCTTGTGTGACCCCTTTAATCGAACACATCGATCTGGAAGAAACTCACATCTCTTGGCATCTTTTGGAAGAAAACACGTCCATCCGGCCTTCTTTTGTTCCTCAGTTGTCCGAGACGTTGTCCATCCGAAGTCTCGCGTTGTCCGAGACGTCACGTCCCCGTCGCCGGGCGTCGCTTGATGTCCTGCCAGGCCACCTGCGCTCTGCTGATGTTCTTGGGGCTCCTCGGCTCTGCGCTTCGTCGCGTTCCACCGAACGGCCCCCGGCTTGGGCCGGGGCCCCGGGCCCGGCCCCCCACCGGTGGGACCACGAACGGGTTGCGGGGGGAGACCGAGGTGGAAGCACCCGCGTCTCAGTGGCCGGAAGATCAGACGCTCCCGAGAGGTTTCCTGCCCTCTTAGCTTCTACCCAGAACCTCAATGACCTCTATCTTGGACCACCAACCACCCAACACTTATGGCCTTTTCCTATCAAAACAGGGGTCACCTACCCTGTATTCCAAAACCCAGTTGCCCCGAGTGTTCACTGCCATCGCTGGGCCGACAGGTATGTGAGAATGCTGGCCATCCGCATTGGTTGCTTCCGATGGTGTCGGGAGCATTGGCCATCGCCGGAACCTGATTCCACTCGCCTTTACCACTTCTACCAGTGCACCCAGGCCTCATGTGTTGGATGGAGCTGAAGGATGTCGAAGGCGAAAAACTCTGCACCTAGACACTCGCACAGAATTGAATAGTGTAGTAGTAGATGTATAGTATACTTTTCATGTACATCACGAGCATGATGTTGATATGTAAGCTGTCATGGAAGCCTGAGGTACTGGTCCCAAGTGTTCTAAGAAGTTCCTTATTTTGGGGCAAGTCGGTCGCGACGTGCACGTCCGACGCCGTCTCCACCACGAAGGGGTCCCCAAGAGGGGACTCCGGAGGCTCCGACTGCGTCGTGCGCCGCCTTCCCGGGATGGCGTCAGACGTTGGGGTCGATATGGATCTGTCTCGAGGAGGGTGATCAGGCTGATCCAACGCGCGCAGATGAACCAAGCCGAGGGGGGGCGCGAAGCCGATGCGAAGCCGATCCAAGAGAACGGAGCGAGCCGTTTCGGGCTCGGCCACGCCCGAGCTAAGGCATGCAGAGGCTGAAAGAGAGGGTTCAGCAAGCTCTGGGGTTTCTGAACACGCGTGTGGGAGTCCTGGTTTGGCAGTGAGCTGTGGTGACCTTTTTCTGAGTTGAACGAATGCATGATTTCTTGGACATGGCTTCTAACTGAATCTCTAGGGAAGATCCATGAAGATCCTATGATCATCTATCATTGCTCGATGTCTTCATCCGCTCTCTTTCGGTTTCTGCCGGAAAACCGGTCGGCACATCCAAGGAGTGGGGCTTTTGATGGCCTCGCTTCTACAGGTGGGTGACTTGGTCGAACCCAGTGGTCTCGGGACAGGACGGTCATTTCCGTCAGTACCCCATGGTGAAATCCGGATGCATCCCAATCCAGTCATCCCAAACCCCGGTCACCTAGAGGTCATCAAAAGCGGTCGGCTCGCAGCACCGATCGATCAGATTGCGAGGCTTCACCGTTCTGGCCAACGAGCTTGCGATGGGCTGGACCGGAACGATGAAAGGGGAGGTTTGGGGTGAGGCGTGTTTAATTTAAGACGTGAAGATAGGCATGAAGAGCTCCACAAAAAGATGGGATGCAAGACGCACAGAAGGCCTTTTCTTTAACATCTTCTGGGCATATATTCCTCTGGCACCTAATGCATCCTAGTCATGCCTTAAAAGGAGCATGTTGTGATAGTACTGTTTGCACTCTCTTGTTTCTTTTCTCTGGTTCACCCGCGCTGGAACCGTGTTCATGGAGGATCTCAGAGGGCAACGGCGTGCGGATGGCCGAATGGATGAAGCGCCTTGAAAGGAGATAGCGGGGCGAGAACAAGCGTTGTCTTGTTGGTTTTGTTGTCGAAAGGTGCGGATTAGAAGAATTGTTCTCCAACTGGCCACCCACTTTTCGGCTTTTTGATGCGGGAGACGAGGCTATACCCTTTGTCGATGATCGACGGGCTGATGATCCTATCGATTTGGCTTCAGCTCGCGGTCTTTCTCCTTGCGGTGTGGCTTGGTGATTTCTGGCTGGGCAAAGGGGATTGGTGCAGCTGGCGACGGCTTGACGTGTTCAATGCATCATTGGGGATAGGGGATGTTGATTTAGACATCAGCAAGTCTACATGGCCCCTGCCGGTCCAATGACACCCTGGCTATCCCTGACCTCTTGAAAACGTAAAGCTGGGACTGAAAAGCCACCGATGGATGCTGGCCCAACCTGGCCCAACCCCTTGCTTTCCTCAGAGAGAGGTCCTCTCCGATGTGAATGTATTTCGGTATTTGTTGGATTCTCAGCCTCCATGTTGGTGGCCAAGAGGAGATCTCCTAATGAATGAAGTTCACTACAACCTAGATGCCTTTGGCCCCCCCCCCGGAGATGAAGGAATTAAATTTGTTGGGTGTTTTCTCCTTCCTACTGAGGTTGAACAACTGGATGAGCCTACTCCCTCCATCCCCCCACATGTCCTTCCCGGCCCACAAAGAATGGACCCAGAATGGATGTGGATGGATTCCTCCAGTGGATTCCTCGCCTTTCTTTGCGGTTTGGGAGTGACAGTGAGGTGCTACAACTGCATCCTCCATGTTCATCTGCGTTCCCAGATCTTAGCCCTGCCGCGCCATGTGCTTTTTGGCCCCGAGCGGGTGATCCCAGATGCTTGGTCGAGTGCAGACGGGGGTGGGGGATGTGAAAACAGTGTTTTTTTTTGAAGTGAAGTTCCTTTGGGATCGCAGTTGTTCCAACTGAATTTGCAGTGCATGGGGCGAATTTCAGAATTCATGGAGGGCGGGTAGATGTGGTAAAAAGTACTAGACAATATATAAAACATATTATATATATTAACTTTGGAAGTGCCTTACCATAGTTTCCAAGTCTGAGCCTATTTCATGCTATTTCAACTGCTGCGGCTGCGACTTGAGGTAGGGAAGTTGTTGGTTCAGGCTAGGGGTCGTGGCTTCTCTGCCGAGTTGTAGCTTTAATCGATTCTAATCATGCAGATCTACCCAAATTAAGAAGCACGGCCATTTGTTGTCCTATTTCCTTGTTTTTTCTTTTCGCGCACCAGCGCCCAACGGCGCCGTTCTCGTTCCATGCTGGTCGCTCCGAGGAGTCATACCAAGGGCCGGACTTGAATGAGTTGAAGCGCATGGGCAAAACCAGCCACCTGACCAAACTGAAGCCGATGCGCCACGAGCGCGACGAACACGAGCGCAACCACCAGCGAGCGAACTTCCGCCCCCTTCGGTTGGGGATGGGCCATCCCGCTGCACCTGCGCTTCGCCACGTCGCTTCGAAAGTGGAACGGCCCCAGGGATGTGCACTGATGTCCACGTTCCGATGTGCACGCGTCCAGCACACCCGTGCGGAGGTCGGCCCGGGTGCCATGCTTTTCGGCGGGTCAAACCGACATCAACCGCCGCGGTGGATGACAAGTCATCGGCTTGGAGATGGCAAGAGACAGTTTCTGGCACTCACTCCACCCCCGATGGCCCGATGGCACTGTGGGACTGCAGTGGCCAGGACTAGAAACATCTAACAACTGTGACGTGGAGGGTCTCGAACTGTTCATCTCCCTACCTGACAGGTTGGAAGACCCTGTAAAAGCCTATAGGCGCCGACTTTGAGGCGTCTACTGGGGGTCTTGCCAGTCTAGAATTTCTAGACCCAGATCGCATAGGCCACCTCTTCCACCTGGTAGCGTGTTGGCCATGGCCATGTCGGGCATGGAAGGGAAGTCCAACGGAGTCCCCCGAGGTCTGGTGTATGCCATGTACTTCCCTGGCATTGCCACGTGGCGAGAGCGGGGAGACGAGAGCAACGTGGGATCGATCGGCTAAGGTGGGTAGATCCTTCTTCCCCTCTGCAATTTTGTCGGTATTCCATGCTGATGCAAATAAGATGGCGGAGGGGAAGAAGGAGTTTTTGCGCATATCATGCGCGTTTTCAAGGGTGAAATGATGTGAAATGGTTGTGCAGGTCCTTTTCTTGATGGCATTGTGTGAGATTTTGTAGCGTTTCTTGGAGGTTCACTCCCGCCCTGATGACAAGAGCAACCGTTTGGCGAATCATGGCGAATTGATGCCCCTGGAATGTACGGTTTGGAAGCCGGTGGAGGTACGACTCCGCGGTGGCACCAGAACCGCATGGCCCCTAGGCCCTAGATGTTCACCTATGCTGGCTTGATGTTCACCTGGGTCCCACGAAAGAATCAATCGCTTGAGGTGGAGTCCCTTTCTCTTGCGCTGGGCGGCAGGACATGGCTTCGGTCATTGGCTGCACCTTCAGTTGAATGGCCTGGTACGCCACATTGTGCCCATAAGATCCAGGTCTTAGGAGTCCATTTAGGACCTTCGGAGTCCACAAGGCCTCTGAAGCTTCTTTTTGGGCCTCCCTCATCCTGAGGTTTTCTGGCACTTCTTCTATGCTTCTTGGATCCTGGTCTTGTCACCTGGCTGAAAGGTACTGGCATTATATAGCTGATCCTTAGATTCCCCAAAGGGGAGCCAACTGATGTCGCCGTCTGTTCTCCAAATGGTCAGCGCTTGTGATGATGCGTGCAGTTGGGTTGGGAGAAACACGTATCCAGCGCTGAAGAAGGAGGGTCTCCTAGTCCTTCCATGGTGTTCCCTGACCTTCGAGATCTCGGGAACCTTCCCTGGGCGCCAAGGGTGTTCTCCTTTGCCCTGGGCTGCTTGATCCTCGTGGGCCAGCCGGTGTCCTGGCACGAGTGGGACAGCGACCGCTGGGTTGAGCAACGGCACTCAGGAAAGAGAAGGATGCAGGACTGCATCGGTCTTGTACACAACATAGCACTTATACAATATACATATATAAATTAAAAACATATATATATATATATATTAATATATACACGGGTTGCCATATTTAGATAAATTTAGAAATATTGCAATATAGAACAGTTTAATGCAGTTTATAGAGGCATGGGCTAAGCACAAGGATGACTGGGCACTATCGGTTGGAGTTCATCTACATGCGTCGCGCGTTCATCGTTAAGTTACAAGGAAGGGGACCCACATGAAAATTCACGAGCGCCTTGCTTTTAGTCTGAGTTCCCTTTTCCGTCGTCCTCCCCTCTTCTGTTTCACGTGCGAAGCTCGGGTGAAAAGACGTTGAAGTGTGTGAAGTGAAGGGCTCGGAGCAAACTCTGGTGACTCTAGTGCTGTGTTTGAACAGTGGAGCATTTCTCAAACTGCGTCTGCTTGTCACAGTTGAGATGCCAGGCAGTCCATGCTTGGTCGTCATCCCCCGAATCGAGCGATGTTTAATCGTTTCGTTATGCTTGCTCGTTTGGTCGTCCTCAGGGAGAAGTGCGCAGCGTCCACGCGCAACGGATCTGGCCTGTGCTGACTTATGGCGCGTTTTTGGGCACAGTGCTGCTGGCACACTTTGTTACGAGCAGCTTGTCCCATGAGGATTGAGATGGAAGGACCACTGGTGACCACATGCAGGGAGAATCATCGGTTAGCTTGACGTGTCACGCCCGGCATTACCATGGCCTATGCTTAGGGCAGCATTTCCAGGAAAAGCGATGTGGCTTATGCTTCGGCCCGCTTGAAGCGATAGTCTAGAGGGGATGTTGTGGGTATTGGAAAATGCTCGGGCCCCCGCCAGAAACGATAACCATGTCAGCTGTCAAATGGACATTGGGCTACAACAAGTATATAATTGTGTTCTCTGAAGGAACACGCCGTTCACCAAATGTGTATGAGACCCACCCAGAAGCAACATTCATATCAACGTTGAGTTGAATTTTATAGTCGAATTGAAGGTCCCCTGGATCCAAAGCAGTGACACACCAGCTCACGACTGTCTCCTGAAAACCCCCGGCTCCACGGCGACACACGGCGACTCACCGAGGGCTCTTCACTCAGCGGTGCTGCTGAGCTGTTTTAGACATCGGTGGGTGGATGTGGGATTCATAGCTGGCCTAGTTGTCATAGTAGGGGATGGGTGGTTGACCCTGCTCACACCCAGGTACTTGAAGGGATCTTGCAATTATGGCCTCCATACACAGCATGTTCCAAGTGAGTGTTTTGATGTCGAGAGCCGTGAGTAGGGGGTCACCGAGACAAGGCCAAGATGGTTGCAGGCCAGCCCTTCCCATGAACACACAGTACTGTAGCTGAACCAAAGAGTCTTGCATCATGGGCTCCTGGCTCTTCTGGGCGCTTGACCCCGCGAGGGCTCAGGTGAGCTGAGCACAGCTGAGCCCTTCACGTGCGTCTTTGGTGCGGGATGTGCAAGGTGAGTCCAACGCAATTGACTTCGCAAGTTTCCCATGGTGTCCCAGCACTTTGGATTAAGGCCCAGTCACGTTGTAGCAACGAGCCGAGGTTTGCTTCATCAGCACGGGCAAGGCATCCGCATCAGATGCCACTCGTTTCAACTGGCCTTTGGAGCTCAGCCTATATCAGATTATCGCCATCGAACAGCCAATTGTTAGTCACTTCTGTCTTGCAAAAAACTGGAGCAACACAGCTTGGAGCTTGGGCCATGATGCCACATGGAATGCCATGCTGGCCACGGCGGTTTTTCCCAGCCACGTCGTTTGGGGGGGCACTCACGTTTGCAGGGCCACAATCAGCAGTTTTGAAGGGACGCGAAGCTCGCACTGCGCGGTGCGCCTCGCGTTTCTGAAAAACCTTCTTGACCTTGCGCCTCCTTACCTTAGAGCTATGCACAGCAACTCGTCCCCCCATCCCTCGTTCACCGTGAGGTCTATGCCTTTTCACCTGGTATGAGGCCCGGGGGAAGAGACTGCGCCGGGCAACGAGACCTTTTTGGGGTGTTCAGTGTTCAGCTGGCATGAGCCCAGACGGGCGTTGTGACGATGAACAGATGGGAACCAGCGACCATCTACGCCCTGACAAGGATCCAAACTCATCTGGAGCAAAACTCTATTTAAAAATTGGCCACGGTTAGGGTTTGACAAAATGAACGGTGCTTGGACCTTTGCACATCACACCTTCTTGTAAGAAGGTGTTGCCCTCCGACCAACATGGAAAAAAGACAAGGCATGGACGCTTGGAAGATGACTTTCCGTTACGAACGTCAACGGTGGTTTCCACCACTTGGACTCCACTTGCATGTGTGAAGTGCCCGGCGGAGAGGCACTCTTTTCTCCCAAGCTCCTGAGAAAGCGCCCGACACGGCCCGACAGGTGATGCTCTTCCTGTTGTCCTTTGCTGTGGGGCCGACCGCGGCACTGTGGGATTACCTGAAAGGCCCGTGTGTCAAAGTGGGACATGTGGAGGAAACTTGCCGCCCTCGACGACGAGTGGGTCAGACCTTGGCGCAGATGTGCCGCACCACGGGAAGGAAGGTACTGTAGGTAGGTCCTTAGGTCTGACCCGCCACGCGCTGGAGCCTCAGTAGAAAGGATGTGATCAAGAGATTCTTTGCGCTGCACCCCAGGACTTCCAATGTCCATAGACTGCGCTTTTTCGATTGGTCGGTGATTCCCCAGACACACGACCCACCAATCCTCACCGGTGCAGTCGTGCTTGGGTTGTACCGTAGGTTCTTCCAGAGACGTCTGGTCACGTACGAGTCGGACCTCGGGAAACCCCGACGGGGTGGGGGTCTGCAGGCTTCATTTGCACTGTCCTGGCCTCTTTGGTGATTCAGAAGCCCAACTTCACCCAGTGCCTTGGCCCCCACGAAGGTGCAGGACGCGTCCTTTGCGAGGCGACCAAACGCGGATCGATGTGGATTTGAGAGGCTCTTGTGTTCGGATTCAAGTGATGGTGCTAGGTGCTAGCGGAAGACATCAAAATCCAGTGTCCTTTGCCATGTTCGGAGCTGAAAGAAGCCTCCACGTCGGAGTGTTCCCCCCACGTCAGTGTTCCGAGTCACGGGAGCGGATTTGGAGCTCCCAGGTTTGGAGAGCTCTCGGACTATGTCTACTGCACCTACTGCGCTGCTCTCTTGTTGGAGCGCATGGACCGAGACCGGAAGGAGCGACGACACACGCGTGGGGGTGGGGCGAAGCAGCGAGAGAAGGGCGAAGAAGAACACGGCGAGAGGGTACTTCCCATGAAGAAGGGTGTATCCCGGTGGGATGGAGGTTTTCGCCACCATGGGTGAAGAGGTGCAGAAAGAGGTAGTTGGCTTGGACGACTCTGGAGTGTCGGACGGCCAGTGACTTGCAAGAACACGTGGAATGCTGTGGGCTGTGGACATTCAGAATGGTACCTGGCAATGTGGACATTCAGAATGGTACCTGGCAAGAACTAGTAGATTCTTCACACGGATTTGCGGCTGAACGTCACCGGTATATCAACCTTCTTCTTTTCAGACTTCCAAGATTTTTTCTCCTCCTGGCGCAAATCAGAGGTGCCATGTGTACCCATGTGTTAGGTTTTTCATTTCGCACCAGGATGACTCTCCCAGGAGCCTCGGACCGCCAGAGTCCGCGAACGACCCGCGAACGACCGGTCGGACGCAGAGGTTTGAACGCATCGTTTGGTCTCAATAACATTCAACAACCTCCCGTCACGGGTGCTTCGCAGAACTTATATAGGCAGATTTAGCAGCTTAGCATTTGCATCCCCCCTAAGTACAGGCACCACTCGGCTGCATGCAAACACTTGTTCCCAATGGTTTTTGCGTGAATGTCAATATAGCAGCAGAAGTTCCAGGAACGGTTTGATGTTTGATGTTTGTCTCGTGTGGGGAAGCTTAGAATGGCTTAGGCGAACGTCCTTGCCGAGGGGAGAGATGTCATGGCCTCGTTGATTCCTTCAAAAGCTGCGTTGTGGACATCGCAGCTGCCACAACCCCCGCCACACTGATGGCAATATACTCAACATGATGGCAATTCGAAAGATCAGGGGCGATCACCGGGGATTTGTTCAATTTTCCAGGTCCTCCAAACCCTGGACAACCGCCATTGGTTTCGGAGCACCCGAGGGCGCCTGGGGGACCCGGGCGGCCGAGGCACCGCCAGCATGAAGCTGAGCTGCACAGCTGTCAGGCTGCGGTGATTCGGCGGGTCGGGGGTTCATTTGGTCGAAGGTGGATCCAAAACCGACACCCCTCCAAAGAAGATCTGGGAGATCACCGTCTCAAGTGCTTTCTTGGGGTTCCAGGGGTTTCCAGGGGCCCAAAAAGGGTCCTAGGAGCATCCGAGCCGGGTTTATCTCTAGAGAACCTGAGGGCGTCAATAACACATTAAACACCGGCCCCATAGGCTGTGGAACACGTGAGGGTGCAAAGCTAGCTCGGTCATTGCATATATGGTTGTATATTACATGACTCTGATTCTATGATCCAATTTTCATGTTGTGTTTGCATTGGGACCTTTTCATATCCACCATTCGAAGGGGCCTTCTTGCATGGTGACTCTGAATGCCAGCCAACTCTGGCTGTGAATTTTTCACTATGTTTCACTGTTAAGGCTCTTAAGTCTTAGTCACAGTGCTTTGTTTGTTCTTTGCTTCGCCTCCCCTTCATTTTTGGGACCTGCGTGGTGGTGCCGCGCTGAACCAACTGACCTCCAGGACCTGCAGCAGAACTGTGACCGTTGGGACTCCAAAGATGAGCCCAGCTTGCTTGATAGCAGCCACTTGGTGAGCGAGGTGATGCTTTAGGTCCTGGGGGGGGTGAAGACTCGGCTGGATCTCATTTTTGGGACCTCAGGATGACAGCTTCAGTCTCTTTTCGAACAGGTCTGAGGGTCTGAGGAAAGGGATTGGACCAACCAGGTGAGAGATCCACCGGATTTTGGACGAGCAACTAGGACGTCGGGGTCGAGCAACCAGGACGTTATTGTGCCACCACTCCATTTGGTCATCTTCAGGTGGAGTTGGGTTCTCGAGTTGCCAGCGGTCCCCCAAATTGCCCCCTGACTGGCCTTCACTATTGACAACTCGGCGCAAGCTATCCATGCGACATGTGTTGGACTAAAAACCCAGCGCAACCCCTGGTGCAGTGCAGCTATGAGAGATCCAGATGCAGCAGATGGCTGGACATTTCTTACGATTCATTGGAGGCTGAAACGTTTGGGCTTCCTGTCGGACGGCATTTCCCGTGGCGTTTCCTGAAAACACAGGACACAGGCGTGGCGTGGCGTGGCGGCGTGCGTGTTCAGTGGCTGCCCCAAAAACCCTATCAACCCATCAACTCACATGTTGAACGCTGCAGGTTACGAGTCCAAAGTGGCTTGCTTACGACGCACCGTCGTGTTCTGGCCACTTGGTGGAGAACGCTCGTACGATTTCTCCCCAGCCAAAGGCCAAAGGGGCTTCATGATTTTTTAGCTGGCATGAAGTTTGGGACATCAACTCTAGAATAAGAACATAGTTTGCTTTTCATCCTGCTGCAATATTCAAAGTGCTGCAGATAGCAGCCCACTTGCATCCACTTGCAATGGTTCGGGACACAATTCATCTCGGGATGAACAAAATCATGCGTGACATTCTGATATCTGTTGATCTCTGATATTTGTGCAACTCAGCTTGGCCCCCTGTGTAGCTGACAGGTGCTTGGCCCGGCCGTCCTTCCTTGTCCTGCTTGGCCAAGGCTCCTGTTCTTAGGCGTCCCCCTGGCCGCAGCGGCCACGGTGGGCCGAGCTAGCTACGTACTTGGTGCGCCCAATCCGGCCGTGGCGGATTGCTGAAGTGGATGCAAATAGTTTTTACTAGTAGCTTCTTGTTGCTAGAAGCGATAGCCTCCAACCTACTATAGCTTCTTGCTAGTAGCGATGCACTTGTTACTTCCAAATTTTACTGGAATGAGGCCTTTCTCTTTTTCCACTGCGCTCGCACTGTATCTATTTTACTGTACTCGATTAGTTCCATCACTTTACTTTATTGAGCCTTCTCTTGACCCCATGCTGTCCCTGGATTTGCTTGCTCAACCTGGTCAGGCTACAGCTGCCCCAAGTTTCTAAAGGCGGTTTTGCCCTTCAGCAAGTGTGCGTCCGAGATGAAAAAGGACGTGTGCTGTCCTTGGCGCTGGGCCGAGTTTTATTGTTGGGCGGGACAGGTGTTTTGGGGGCGGATCCATCGAGGTGGTGAAGGAGCAAGCCGCGGCCGAACGAGGGTCATCCCAGTTCCATGGCCAGGTATCACCAGGGCAGCTCCGTCTCGCCAGGCCGTCTCGCCAGAACCTCCATCTCGCCAGGCCGTCCCCGAGGAGATGACCAGCCATGTGACCAGCCCAGACTCGATTGACTGGCGGAAGCTCCGTCGACCACCGTGAAACCACGTGGCGGATCGATGCCCCGTGGTCTTTCGGTGTTTGGAAAGCTCCGTTTCACGTCGTAGCTCCCAAAGACCTTCGAAAGGAATCACTTGGGCTAGTTAGTTCATTGCAGCGCATGATCAAGGATGGAATGCCCGCACCAATCCTCGCGGATCCCCCGAATCTCTCTATTCCAATGCACGCCCAGAAAGATGGGTTACAAGGTGTTTGTTGGTGCATGTCGGGGATGGCTTGTGGAGGCTTCCCTGAGCCGAGCACCATTGTTTCTTTGCAGTGGCCAATGGTCAGGTCACAAGACGACGTGTGGTGTTGTACTAGCTGGTACTCAGGAAGTATTCCCCATTAAACAGGGATCAATGTTCCCCAACCTCCCGGCAGTGTAGGATTTCTTCCACTTGCTCTTCGTTTCACCGCATGGTTTCAGTCTTGGCCACACTCAATCGCATGTAGAGATTACAAGAAGATGGAACGCTCATCGCCTGCTTTGGATGTCCCATTAGTTGAATTGGCTTGACACCTCCTCACCTTGCCAGCAACATCTTGGCACCAGTGCCAGCAGCAAACAAAAGAAGGGGACGTCCCAACGAAGAGAGGGCATTGATGGGATCTCCAATGCACGAACGGGTCACGTCACTCAGATCCCAATTGCTGACATAGAAAACACAAAAGACTATGCCTGGTAGATAAAATCATTTTCGCCATCCCTTTGGCAGTTTCGCGTGTTTCTTGACAACGTTTGCAGTACCTCTACTAGTCGTGCGGGTTGCCACACAGAGTCGCGCCGTTTTGCACCCATTTGTTTGGATCCTCCCGGGCCTGTGAGTTGGTGCGCAAACGCACAGCGAATTGGTTGTGACCGGGGCGTAGCGAAAGCTGGAACAAAAGAAGCCGCGCGATGACCAAACCCCGCGATAGGAGGACACCCCCGGTGGCGATGAGTGCACGGGTCGATTTGTTGGGAGGGTCTTTGGTGGAAGAGGTCATCGCAAGTACTTGGAGGTTTGGGCTGCACATATATTCCCACATTCCGCTGCCCAACAGCAGGCACAAAAATGCTTCAGCATTCAAATATGTTGAACCAGGTAGCACATTACACGGCGGTTCGAAGAAATGCTGACATGCACCAAATCAGTTTGCGTTTCGTAGGGAAGACTCCGCGGAGTTGTAAGCTATTTTTCCTTCGCGTTTCACTCGTTCGACGCGTGAAGAATCCACGCCATGCTCTCGGTGCTGAGTAGCGGCACCATCAACCTGACGGAGGAGCTGCACCGAACCCGGCAGGACTTGATCGAGGCGCGTTTCGAAGCTGCGAACCTGGCGGAGGCCTTGGCCCAAAAGCGCGAGCGCTTCGTGGAGCATTTGGAGTCCTTCTGGTTCGTGTTGAAGCACCATCAAGAGCGAGTGCTGAAGAGCAGGGTCTTCCATGCTTTCGCCTTAGCTTGCCACCACTGGCAGATGCGTACCACTGCCACCACCATGGCTGCTACGGAGGCCCTTGTGGAGTCCTCGCCTCGGGCACGCAGCAAGTGGCGCTGGCTTTGGCAAAAGAAGGTCTTCGGACTCTGGCGCCGCGCCAGCACCCTGGCGCACCGGTCACGCACGCGCGAGACGCATCACCAAGAGCTGGAACAGCACAAAGGTTCCGTCTCGGAGCTTCGGGAACATGTGGAGCGACTACATGGTCGGCGCTTGGATACGGATGGTTTGCTGTTAACGGAGAGGACACGCGTGCGGGAGCTGGAAAGTGAACTTTCCTCATGCAAGGAGCAAGTGAAGGAGTTGCAAAGCACCCTGAAGCAGTGCTACGTCCAGCAGTTCGAGGACTCGCAAAAGCGAGAGGAGCTGGAACGCCACTTCAGTAAATTGGCCGAAGACTTCCGCCAGATGAAGGTTGAGAAGGAGAAGCTCCACCAGGAGCTTTTGAAAACCCAAGTGGAGTTGCAGGACTCTAACCAGCGCGCGGCAGAGCATCAGAGCCGCTTGAAGGAAGCGTCCTCTGAGCTTTGCTTGGCTGAGGAGGTCATTGATGACATCACGACCTCGAAGCTGGTGGGGCTGCAGCGGTTTTTTGATCATTATGACTTACCTTCAGTGTGTCTAAGTCTCTTTGGCAAGATCCTGGAGCTTCAGCACCAGCTCCGTTCCACCGCCCGCAGCATTCGCCCAAAAGGGGAGCGGAGTGCGGAGAAGGCAATCGAGACTGAGGTGTGTCAGCAGCTTGCCATGCATGACCAGGCGGGGCGTGGGTTTCCATGGTCAGGTTCGTTTGTCATGTTACATTTTCCTTACCATTCCAACCACCCTTGATTCAATAGTCTAGTCACAATGACATAGTCTGTACCGAGCCACCATTGAATTTACTAAGGATTTTACACTAACGAACTCAGCTCAACTGGATTTAACTAAATATAGTAGTCTTGGAAGGCTAGGGTCTTTGTCAAATAAATGGCGGGGAGCCTATTACAGCACTGGGTGACGATGAACCGATCCAACGGCGGATCCGACCCGACAGGTCTCGCGCCGGGGCCTCCAAGACTACATCGAACATTTGAAGCTCAACGTGTCCGCGAGTATCCTGGTTTTGCTGATCAGGTGATGTTTGTTTTACTTGTTTTGCTGATCCTGTCCGTAGCTTCTGAGCTTAGCAATGCACTTGTTACTAGTAGTATTGCCCTTGTTACTAGTAGCAACTCCAAGGTATGGTGGCACAAGTCTTGCTGGCACTTCTAGGCTTGGACGGCTCGCCCTGTGACCCGGTCTTGGGATCGACGTGAGACTTTCGTTCGTTGGGACGACAGGTCCACGGCGGAACTACCCATCTCTCTCTGTAGAAACTGGAGACTCCGAGAATCCAATGTGGTTGGTCTTCTTTTCCAGGGCCCCCTAAGGGGTGGTTAATGTCTGTAATGGACATCCTTTAACCTCTAAGGAGCTATAGTTGGACACCCCTTAGGGGGGGTCTATTGACATTGCTGCGTCATGGTTCTGTTTTGTGTATGCAATGTTTTGGATTGCTTTTGGTGAAAGATGGGTGAAAGCACACCAATATATACCAATGCCGTTCTTTTGGGTGGATGCAGGTATGCCCTGATCGCTGAGGCGATCAGTTGCGCTTCACGCAGCTCTTAGCCCAACCTCCCGCCTGGCGCCACCTCGATTTCGCCACCGCGCTGTGGGGCTCAGCGGGGGAGCCGGCCGCGGCGGTGGTGCAGCAGCATCGCAACAAGCTCCGGTCACCCAGGAGTCCGTGAAGGGCCTCAGTAGTCAGACGGAGGACCGAGAAAGCGGAGTCCTTGGGGCGGCGTTTCTTCGCCTCAAATGAGGCGTTAGGAGACCGTCTCACACTATAACCGGCCGATGTCGAAGCGTTGGCGTGGGAAACTGGGTGCTGCAGCTTTTGGCTCTCGATGAGGGAGGAGGTCATCCGCGGCTAGCGCTGCTTCAGTAAGGTTCTGGGGAGCTGCTCTTTCAACAAGAGCAGTTTGTAAGCGTAGGGCGTAGGAGATGTTGATTTCCCTCTTCCTTCTTCTCTAACTCTCAAAGCTCTCCACGTTCCTTGTTTTTTCCATCTCTCTCTCTCTCTTTGTGTTGCTCTCCCTGTGCCCCTGTGCTTTTCGCGAATGCCGATCTTGGAGGAACCCATGATACCCTGAAGTGACCGAACTCGGCCAGTAGTGACCGTTGAGACTCCTGCTCATCAATGGCATTTGCAATACACATGGTATACGGTATACACCACCCCTTGGTTTTCATGGATGCAATGGTAGATGTCCACAGGGTAAAGCCCAGGATCATTTTTACATGTTCCATCATGTTCCTACAAACCAGCATAGGCGTGGGAGTCCGGATTCTATATCCTGTTATGTCATGACTAGCTCCCAGATCAGGGGACAACTGTGTGGGTGACACCGCGCCATCTCTGCGTGACATCAGACCGCCCAGGTCCAGAACGACACCGTCTTGGGGTCCACGCCCCCGCGTGGTGTGGCGTCGCATTCGCGTGGTGTGGCGTGGCGTTGTGTGCATCGGAGGTGGTTGCTGAGGTGAAGTGAGAGTGGGTTGGTTGGTTGGTTGGTCGGTCCCTTCGGAGCATGGTGGTTCAAGTTGACCAGATGTCCCGAACGGCTCAGTATATTTTAGTAAGGCTTGGCCACGCCCTCTTCGGCAAGACTTGTTTTGACGTCTTTCGCACAAGCCATTTCGGCCCGGCTTTTGTCAGCATGGCGCCTGGCGCCGGGCAGGCGGGGGCTTTTTGGGCGGACGTGGGGATCTGAACGCTTGGCTTTGGTGGGTAGGGTTAGCGACACCTACACCTTGAGGGGATGTGTGTGCACTGACTGGGAATGAATCCGGTAAAATCAGGGCTCACCGCAGAGCCTTTCTGATCGAAATGGCTGGCTGTCGAGTTGGTGGGTGTCATGTAGAAGGTGTGGGGAGTTTCATTTGACTTGGCTATCTTGGCTGCCTCAAAACCCTGATGCATGCCTGTGCTTTGATAGTTCAACATCCTTGTTCTATTCATTTTTTCATGTTCTCCTTCAGGCGGAAAATGGATCGGTGCGTGCAATCATCAAAGGGATTATATATCCCGTAGCAATCCCACGGAATGCAGGTACCAACAAGATCCCCGGTGCCACAATGCGAGTTACGCCCCCCGACCGGTTGACACCTGCTTTGGAATACACACCGCCCAAAATATCGTTCCTTTTTTCCTCTCCCCCCAGGGGTCAGATTGTCAGATGCTTCCCAGTGGAGTTTTCTTGCCAGCTGGACTTGCTGGCAATGGACAGCTTTGCGAGGCTGCCATGAGACTGCTGCTCCTCTTCAGCTCTTGGAAGGCCCCTTTCGCACGGACACCAGAGCTTTCGAGCGCCGCCGAAAGCACCCGTCGTTGCAGAACGGAAGTCCATCTTGGCAGCCCCAACAACGTTGCTGCATCAAAGGACGGAAGGCCAAAACAAAGGGTAGAGAGATAGAGAGAGAGAGAGAGAGAGGGAGAACTTACAATCATCCCAAATCACTCCCAGTTGATCACCCTTCCGATTTGCTCCAAGTGGCTTTGCTGCGGCCTTCGCCCACCTCCCGTCGCCACCTGCCCCTCGTGAGGCCGTGCAGGGATTGATTGGCAGCTGTCCGACCTTGACAACCTCACCATACTTAGGAGAGGCAGGATATGGCAGGATGCAACACCTGGGTGGATGGGTCTGGGGAGTTGGGACAAGCGGGGGTTTGGGATGAAGGGTGCCCCACTTGCTGGTGGTTGACCGTCTGCACAGCCTCCGGTTCTCCCTGCCTCTAGAAGCCAGCAGCTGTCGGCGGGGCCTCAGCGGTCGGTCCAGGCGTCTCCCTTTGGTTGGCCCTTGTCACCCAACGCCTGGAGCTTTGTGAAGCAGCAGGAATGGGGCGAGAGGCGCGAGCGGAGCCCTTGGTCGAAGGCGTGCGCAACTGGTGAAACCTGGTCCAATGAAAAGCAACCCAAAGCGGTCAAAGACCAGTTGGACAATGAAAATAACCTGGTCCAATGAAAAGAACGGATTTGGTTCAATCTCGTTCTGTCTTCCCTCCGGGTCGGTCACTGTCAGTGTCGTTCCCAGTACAGAATGCCAGGCAGCGCTTTGCTGCCGGGTTTGTTGTTTTGGGTTTTTACATGCTGGGAGCTTATTGTCAGCTTTTTGAGCTCCATAGCGCTGAGCCCCCAAACTTTAGCTTGTCCAGAGAGCTTGGTAGTGCTCTGGGTTGCTGTACCTCTACCTTTGGATGCTGTACAGCTGGATGTTCCACTTGATTCCTGGGGTTCGACCTGCCAGGTATCTCATGTGTGAGGGTCATCGGCAATCGCCCATGGACATCGCCACGCATGGAAGCTGCGTGAAGAGCGGTGGCGAGGCGTGCTGTCGAAACGGCCGGCCGTGTGGTGGGGGGACCGGAACGGTACGATCCAAGAGAGAAGCATCAATGTCATGTACTGTAGACCCTTTGACATCCCTTGATCAATAGACTCAATAACACCCCCCATATGAAGTGGCTGTTCGTGCTCCACTTGCGGCGGTAGACTCACGAGTCTCCGACCAGCGCGGATCGGAGCAACATGCTTCCCAAAGATCCGACCCGCCGGTTTGTGGACCGGGCCAACGAAGAGAGAGAAGGCAGGTCCCGATCGGGACGTCCGTCACGTCTTCCGTCCGTGGTCGTTTGGCGGTCTTCTGTCCGACGGGTTCTGAAGCTTCCCAGCCTTCCTCTTCGGCCGCGAGGATGGCCTCCTGCAGAGCGCCTTCGCCTATTCGGCCATTGGCCGAGAGACGGCCGGGGCCGGCGGCGTCGGACGTGCGGAGGGGGAAGACGGAGGGTGGAACAGGTGAAGAGGTGAGAGGTGGATCTTTGTTCGAAAGCAGTCAGTAAGTCTTGGAGTCTCGTCTTTCTTCCTGCAGCGGGGCCAATTTGATTGTGACATTCACTGAGGGAAATGCAGGAGAGTGCAATATGCAGGCGATACTCAGCCGTGATGACCCTGAATAGAATTTGAGCTTGTACAGCTACACGCTGCACACCTTTGCATCGCTACCTGGAAAGTTGTAGAAGTGGAAGGGCCACGCCGTGCTGGCTTTTCAAATGGTTGACTTGGGCCCCAACATCCACACCCCAGCCCCGCTTTCCGCTACACCTTCAACCCAAACCCCTGCGAACCCCCGGGTGCGTGGCGTGGACCCACGCTTCTGCGAGGTGCAGGTGAGCTCCTACATGCGCTCGGCCGCTGTGAAGGGGGACTTTGGCTCGTTGCACCTCCAGGCCTGGACGGGGCGTTCGGTTTTCGGTGCGAAAGAAGCCCTACGGTCCCGTTTTCAGTGGATTTTTGGAGCAAAGAGGAAGGGGGCGGTCTCTTCGTCATTTGAGCCAATCGTGGAGTGGAAGAGTAGATGGAGCTGTTTGTGAACATCCTGCTTAGGTGGTGATTCTTATTTTGCCCGTGATTCCTCTAGATCAATTATCCTAGCATGTCACCAACGTCGCAGTGAAGGAGAGCGTAGCGGTGAAGGGTTCCAGCTGCATGAGTCTCAGCTACCCCTGACGCAGCTGGGAGTTGCTACCATCGACCCGAAGCCTCCTCCGACCCCAACGTCTTCGGATCCTCCTAGTTGGGTCCCCCTGGGGACCGTGCCACGACCACTGCAGGATGCTGAGGGGCGCCCGCAGCAGTACACCGCGCACGAGGTGTGGAGGGACTGATGTTGACCTTCGGGGCACCGGGATGGGTGGGTGGAGGTGAGAAGTTTCAGGACGTGAGGTGTGTGAACCTATGTGAAGCCCATGAAGGGAAAAGCACCAGTTGACACATGTTGACCAGTTGTATGTCCAGTGGCTGGCATGCTCAGTTGGAAGCCCTCTGAAGTCCTGCAGGTCTGGGACGAGTGCGACCTTCACCTTTTCACCATGGACGAATATCTTGATTTGTTGGTATACAGATGGCATAAAGTCGGGCGACACCAACAGCCTGGCTGCCACCGGGAGGGACCAAAGGGACAGATGCCTCCAAAAAGGCGGGGCCGGACCGCCTTCCCAGTCGGGAGCGGCCCGCAGCCAGGCTCACCTGTCAGCCGACAGCTGGCATAGCATGGATGGCCAAAGCAGAGTGGCACCTTGGCCCCCAGACCCTGGTGGTGGAGTGGCTTGAAATCTCGTTTCAGACCCTTCTTCGATGTTTCAAATGGAGGGGCTTGATCTATCATGATCTACCCAAATGGGGGTCGCCCATGACACAACGGGACAAGGACACAAGGATATTATATATATATATATATACAGTGCATATATATATATGTATATATATACACTGTATTATCTATATATTTGTCATATGTGTGTGTGTCATTATGTATTACTATAAGTTAATCACCTCCTTTCACAGGGTCGTCGTTTGATCCCGGCTTTCGCCGTGATGTGGTCTATCAACAGGGATTTTGTGTCAATGGCTTGTAGATCCGTTTCCTGGCCCTTAGCCAGTCAATGACCTGCTTCAAACATATTGGACGGCCAAGTGTTATGGAAGCCATTCAACCTGGACATTCTATTCAAATCCTGGTGCTTGAAGGCAACTATTCATGGGGCGCTCAAATCCCACCTACATCGGGGAACTACATTAAAGGTGATGCAGACTGTCCGTCCCCAGCGTGGCTGCCAGCTCCCCCGTGTTCGCCGCGTCTTCGCTGCGAAAACTCGACTGTTCGGTGCCTCCGAACCCGTTGTTTTTTTTGCGCAAGCCCGGTGAAAGGTCTTCCTCCAAGGTCCATCAAACAACCAAAACACTCCAAAACACAAGCAAACAAAGAAACAAACGATCTAACAAGCAAACAACGAAACAAGCAAGCAAGCCAGCCAGCAAACAAGCAAGCACACACACAATCGCACACGCACACACACACACTGTCCATGCTTGTTCATAGGGGATTCTGATGTTACCCTGCAGGACCGTTTCAACTATAATTCCATCCGTCGTTTCGTTCAAGCCGCTGTCATGTTCGCACTCCCAGTTGGATTCTCGAGGCAGAGTTGATGATCTTCCACAAACCCAAGGACCATCCAGACATGCTGAAAGGTGGCGTGGCCCGGGGGCCCATTTCCTGTGGAGGACGACCAGCAAGTCAACATTTGATATCACATGCGATCACTATAAGGTAGACTCTTGATCAATAAACCCCCCGCCTTTGAAGAGGATGTTCACTCCAAAAAAAAGGAGGGTGTAACAGTGTATTAATCAAGAGTCTATATTAACTGTAATTGGCTTGGAGCTGGTCCATGCTGTATATATATATATATATATGCGCGCATTCCTTTTGTGGGACTGTTCATCAGTCCCGGGGCCGTGGCGTCAAGTGATGGGGCAGGCAGCATGCCCGCGAAACAGGGGCAGTCTAGAGTCTAGAGGTGTCATGGAAAGTCTTGACGGGTCTTGATGGGTGATGAACCAGCGATCATTGGCTGGCGGGTTCTTAAAACCTTCACTTGAAAGACCCAACAAACCGGTGCGTCGGAGATCCATCCGCCTTGTTTCCACTGGCCGCTGCCGACCCTGACACCATACCACTGCGACGCGTGCCCGCGTTTCCACTTTGGACACCTGGAACCAGGTTTCCCATATCTTCTTTTCCGCCGGCACCGGCGCCCCCCCCGGTTGGAGTTTCTGCTACGTGAATCCACCGGAGTTCCACCCGTTGCTCGAGGTGGTGAGCATTTTCTTCGAGCAGAACGAGTCAGCCGAAAGCGAACTCTTCAGCTACATGGGTTTCCCAAAGGCGAGAATCACCCCACATGGCGGAATGTCGAGAAAAACATGTCGGGTGAGTGCAGAACTGGGTGAGTGCAGACTGATGAGCTGAGAGCTCTTGGAATGTCATTCGGCCTTCAAAGATGGTGGCAAAAAAGAGTAGTGTTTAGCACTATTGTCTCGAAATCGAAAACTGCCAAATGCAGCGCTCATAATAATAATTGATGGAATTTGGTGAGATGGGGCACTCATTTTTTCATGAGCACTTTTCGAAAATCATGTTGAGCTTAATTTAGGTGATCACCAACCGAGCTCCCATGTATAATCAAATGAGAAAAGATGAACATGTATCATGTATCAACTTGTTTATTCAACAATTTGACAAACATATACATTGTCTGGATTTATTTACTGCAATATTAAATGGGTTGTCTGAGACAGAAACCAAAGTCTGAACACTGTACTGTACCATCTCAGATCTCCTTGGCCTGACAGTCAGACCTTTTCTCATCAGCGACGAACTCGTCGCATTCGAACCGTTCGTTCTTCCAGGGGCCAGAAGAGCTGGAAGCCGCGGAGGGTCAATGGACAGCGCAGAAGGAGCTGTTGGATTTGCCTGCCCTCCTCCAGGAGCTCTGGCCGTGACCCCTGTACAACTTCTGACCCCTCCAGGACCTGATTGACCCCTCCCAAATGAATTCTTTTTCCACGCGAATGATTGGGGTGGACGACGTGCAGGTTGCCGGAGATGTCCGTGTCTTGTTTGGTGCTCCGCTTTCTCGTGCGCGTGAGCATTGAGAAAGCTGGGCCGCGGCGGTTATGTATATGTAATACCAACATATATATAATATATAATGTTATTTTTTGGTTGGGTTTGTATAGAGTGTAGACTGTGGAGGGTGGTTCTTTTCGGTGGTTCGCTCTGTGCTTTAGGTCATTTGTAATGGTTTATCCAACCCCACTCCAGTCCGAACGCGAAGAATCCTATTTCCATGTCCGAAGAATCCACGGCCTCCAATCCGAAGAAGGCTAAATCGTCACTGTCTGACCTGTCTGACTGGGTGAAACTGCGCGGCAGTTTCTAAGACGACTCTCATGGAATGTTCGTGGCTTCGGGCGTTCGAAACCTTCCCTCATCCTTCCAGTGCCTGCAGGTTCAGGCTATAGCGCTTGGAACTTGAAACCAGGCGCTTGATGTAAGATGTGGTCCAAGAACTTGCTTTACCTCCAGTTTCACTTCAAGGCGGGTGGCACCGGGCTTTTTTGAGCCCTGCTCCCGCAGTGAAACCGCACGCGCAGGAGGTCACCTCAGGGCCTAGCTACATGTACGAAGGCTCTGTCCCAGCGGGGCACCCAAGGAGCCACCATCATTTGAAAAAGATCGCATCGATTGGTGTTTGTTTCTCCCCCCCACCCCTCAAAAGTTTTGATCCTTTTGTTTTAGACCCTTAGTCAGTCTTCCCTTGTCCTGTTATGTATATATGTCTTGTTCTGTTCGTTTGTGGGGGGTTATGATAGGGGAGCGCCCAAGACGCAGCCAGTGTTTGAAGCCAACTTGTCCTTTTTCGTGACAGGTCCTGCCAGAGCAGTCCTGCCTGCGACACGCGAGAAAACATATGATCCGGGGGAGTGCCCCGATGTGAGGGTCTTGCCAAAGTGATCCATGTTTGACCGTGACACCGGTGAAACCCTCACAAACTCTTGCTGAATGAAAAGAGGCCTCACTTGGAATATGGGATGATCATGTAGGACAACCTTCACACTAAGAGCTTAAATCACATGACATGGTCCGGTGGATGACAACACACTCCTGGGTGCAGACCTCATAATGTCAAATCCCATGGAGGATAGTTCAAGACAATTGCATTCTCCACGGCTCACAAGCAACAGAGAGCTCCAAACATTGGAGGTTGAACACGTTGTCCATAAAAACAACCCAACTTAAAGATACTTAAAGTTCTATATGTTGTAAGATTTGTAAGTATCTCAACTACCCTAGTTACAGTTACAATGGACCATCCTCCTTGGCACTTGCACTGAGGTGCCTCCCTGTTCAGAGACCGTGAAATATCTGGTGCTTGGCAAGGCGAGCAACTGGGTGCAGCTGCGGTGTTTGGCTCAAAAAGGGCTCAGACCATGGAATTGTTTGTAACTGTTGGTCGGGCATGTTCTCCAGGACCTAGGAATTGGGAAACAAGCCTAGGATTCCAACCCTTGTTTCCAAGCCCAGGTATGATTTCGACCCCCGTCGCAGACTGGACATGGACCCGGAGAGGTCTTCCATGTTCTTCTACTCTATAGCCAGTGGATTGGAGCTCCATGTTGATCTGCAGGAGCCAACGAGAAGTCCGCTTTGAGTCGGGTCACCGCTTGGGCTGACAAACGTGCGTTTTCCTGTTGGAGCTCGTTGGGAGAACTGCACCGCGGAGAACTTCATGGGGACACGGGTGAACCTCTCCGCAGCTATTGGAGAACATTTCAGGGTGTAGGCGTAGAACTCTTTTATTCCGGCCCACTTGTTGCGGACATGGCCAGCAGCATTGGTGAGATGGCGGTGATTGCGCACCGCTTCATCACCTCACCACAGACGAGCCCACAGGCCTTCTGCAATGTCATCAAGTTGG